TGCAGGCCGTTGCCGCTGTGCCGAGTCCTGCACCTCCCAGTGTGGGGGGGTGTCAGAAGACTTGCACTGTGAGGTCCCCAATTGATCCTTGGGGGGTTACATGCCTGTTAGCCTGGGGGGTTATAGGCGCACTGACTCGCTACTGAAACAAGCCATTTTATCCCAATGGTCTAGTGGTTAGGGATTCTGACATGGTATCAGAGCGAAGGTCTCGGGTTCGAATCCCCATGTGTGCACATGATGGCGGTGCCGCTGTGCCTTGTTCTAGGGCATCCCTGTGCGAGGGGGGGGTGTCTGAAAACCAACACTAGGGATGCCCGATTGATCCTAGGGAAGGGTTACAGGCTTGCTGGCCTAGGGGGTTATTGTCAAGAAGTGAAGTCTGTATTGATTAGGGTTGGGAGTACAAGTAGGAAACCCTAAGGGGTTGTACTCACTAGAGTATGCCCCACTATAGCATAGAGCATACAATTACAATTTGACACACCCCCATAGGCAAAGTGGGGGATAGCAAAACAACGAACGGTCACAAGACCAGTCAAGCAAGAGAACAAAACAAAGCAAAGCTCAGGGTGTATCCCAAGATCACCACGCATTCTTAGCACAAGCAAGCGGCCACCAGGCCAGTTCACATGCAGAGTTTATATTAGCAAGAGCAGTACACTGATCACAACCTAGCAAGTGTAAGCATGCAGGTATACTCATATATATCAGTGTACAACAAGAGCAAGATCAAGAGACAAGCAAGTGAGGCAGAGTGTGCACAAGCCCAAGAGCAGTGCAGAAACGCTGATGATCACTAGACCCAAGGGCCTTGGTGAAGACATCAGCAGTGTTGGCCCGTGTGGCCACGTAAGCAAGACGAAGCTGACCACGCTGCTGCAGCTGTCGCGTGAGGAAGTAACGGAGAGCAATGTGCTTCGTTCTCTGCTCCAGTCTCTGGTCCTGACACAAGGCAATCATGGCCGTGTTGTCGTCGTACAGAACTGGAGGAGAACGAGGCCGCTCACCCAAGTCGGTCAGCAGGTAGGTCAGCCAGCGGAGCTCCTGTGCAGCCATAGCCCCAGCGTAGATCTCGGCCTCACAGCTGGAACTAAGGACAGAAGAAGAGCGAGTGGACCTCCACGAGACAGAACCAGCCCCGAGACTAAAGCTGTACCCCTGTGTCGACCGGTGAGTCGTCTGGTCGTCAACCCAAGAAGCGTCTGAGTGACCGGTGAGAACAACTGAACTCGGTCCTCCAAGCACGAGCCCCATGCCCGATGTACTGCACAAGTAACACAGTACCCTCTTCGCAGCATCCCAGTGCATCTTTCGATGTCTACCGGGAGCCACGTAGCGAGCTAGAAGGCTGAGAGGGTATGCGAGGTCAGGTCGTGTGCACGTCATCAGGTACATGAGGCAACCCACAAGCTCTGGGTACGGACCACTCGGCTCTATGGACTCGTCCGAAGGTGGAGCTGAGAGCGAGTGGCCGGTAGACAGAGGAGTGGGCTATGGCGAGGACCACGTGAAGTCGAAGCGCTGAAGGACCTGCTGCACCATGTGTGACTGAGTGAGGGTGATGGTGCGGCGTGCTCTGTCCCGGGTGATCTGCAAGCCAAGATGGCTCCGCAACTCACCCAGGTCAGTGCAAGTGTGTCTCTCCTGCAGCTCCGCCTTCACCAAGGCCAGAGCCTCAGTGTCAGCAGTAGCAAAAACCAAGGCGTCGACGTACACAAGGATGTAGAACGCCAACAGAGTAGTGTCAGTGCGCAGAAACAGCGAAGGGTCAGCAGTCGAGGGATCGAAGCCAAGAGCCGCAAGTGTAGTCCTCAGTGTGTCGTGCCACTTGCGGGGTGCCTGTCGTAGGCCGTAGACTGGTCGCCGAAGACTCCACTGTGTACCCTCAGGAAACGACCCAGTGAAGCCACGTGAACGGCGCAACCAGACAGCCTCGTGAAGGCTGCCCTGCAAGAAAGCTGTCGAGAAGTCGAGGGAGTGCAGCTCGTAGTCGCGCTGTGCTGCAACGTGCAGTAGCACCCGAAGAGCGGTCATCTTCGAGGTGGGGGAGAAGGTCCGAAAGAAGTCGACCCCCCTCACGCTGACTGAAGCCTCATGCAACGTAACGCGCCTTGAAGGCAGGCGGAGAACCCGGCGGCCGCTTCACCCTGAAAATCCACATGCCATCGACTATGTTCGCCCCAGGTGGGGGAACCTCGTCGACGTACGTGCCTGTGGACTTCTAGGAAGCCATCTCTGCATCCATGGCTATCTGCCACTAAGAGGAGTTCGAACCCGTGATCGCCTCTGCGTAAGTGCGCGGGGTCGGGATGTCCAGTGCATCCGGGTCTCCCTCAGGGCAAAGTAGCGTGGATGCGAGATGAGGTGCAGCTGCCGCTAGGCACTCCAGCTCAAACTGCCTGTCCTCAAGAACGTCACAGCCAAGGGCAAGCTCACCCCCGACGGACGGAGGACAGGAAGAGTAAAAAACAAGACTCGTAATGTAGTCAAGGCGGCACAAAGCAGCAAAGTCAACAAGCTCAGCAACGGAAGGGTCAATCACAACCGTGGCAAGGAGACGAATGACAGTCGGACTGGCAGCACGGACAAGGTCTGACTCAGGGTCAGGAACGTGACGAAGGGAAGACGCAGGAGGAGACGGCAGGACAACACGCTGTGGAACAGAGGAAGGACGAAGTGCCATACGGTGAGTGCCTGGCACAGCTGGAGCACGAGGACAGACAACACGACGACCGCGAACAGGAGTGGAAGCACGAGTCTCAGGCTCACGACGCTCAGGATTGGAAGCACGAGTCTCAGGCTCACGACGCGCACTCAGGGACGCAGTCACCTCAGTGTGAGGAGCAGGAGCAGGCAGCGGGGAGCCAGGCAGTAGCTATGGCTGTGACTGGTCAGTCGGTGGGAACAGTAACGGAGGAGTAGAACCAGCAACCGGGAACTCAGTAGCAGCAGGCGGTAGACTGAGAAGGTGACGAAGCGCAGACGGCCGCAGCTGAGTAGTCGCACCCCCAGAACCTCCAGCTCCACCACCGGGACTGCCCCAACGAACAGCCGACTCGCGAAGCTGCAGCGGCGAGAGCGACTCCTGCCAACTAGCACCACTAACTCCAGTACCTCCAGCAGTACCTCCAGTAGTACCTCTGGTGCCAGCACCTCCAGCACCTCCAGCAGTACCTGCACCTCCAGTACCTCCAGCAGCACCTGTGACTCCAGTACCTGGAACACCAGCACTAGCACCTCCAGGGCTAGCACCTCCAGAACCTGCACCTCCAGCAGCACCTGCGCCTCCAGTACCAGGAACACCAGTACTAGCACCTCCAGGGCTAGCACCTCCAGAACCTGCAGCTCCAGCACGTCCAGCGCCACCACCAGGGCTGCCCGCGGTAGTACCCACAGCAGCAGCACCTCCAGTACCTCCAGCTCTAGGAGAGCGAGCACGGCTAGCTCCACCACCAGGGCTGCCCCACTGAACAGCCCACTCGCGAAGCCGCTCCGGCGAGAGAGTCGCCTGCCGACGTGCACCAGTGCTACCAGCATGAGCAACCCCAGTACCACCAGTAGCATAACCTCCAGCTCCAGCAGTGCCAGCACCTCTAGCTCCAGGAGTCCCAGCACCTCCCGCTCTAAGACGGCTAGCTCCACCACCAGGGCTGCCCCACTGGACAGCCCAATCGCGAAGCCGCTCCGGCGAGAGAGCCTCCTGCCGACTCGTAACAGGACCACCAGCACCAGTACCTCCAGTAACTCTGTACCCAGAGGACACTCAGCACCCCCAGAACCAGCACCCCCAGAACCAACACCCCCAGTGGTACCACCTCCTGCAGCACCAGAGTCCACAGCGACAGGCTGCAGCGGCGGTGAAGACGGCAGAGGCTGAAAACCAGGAGGGACCGCCAAGCGTGCAGAGCGGCGAGGGGTCACGGTGGCAGCAGGAGTCGGGTCACCCCCCTCAGCCGGGCCAGAGGTGTCTGAGGAGACCTCCAAAGGCTCAACCAAGGGGGGTGGGTCTACCTGAGACACCTGAGGGAGCGGGACCGGGAGGAGGGAGGGGGGCTACTTGGGGGGGGTCGTCCACCAGGGAGAGAGGCGGGAGGGGTACCGGGGAACTGCGGTGGGGGTGAAGAGGGTAGAAGCAGACGGACTCGTCAAAGGTGACGTCGCGGGAGGACAGCACACGACAAGAGCCTGGGTGGTAAAACTGCCAGGGCGGTGCGTCGGTGGGAAAGCCAAGGAACACGCACCAAAGAGTGCGTGGAGAGAGCTTGCCCGCAGGCAAATCGCGGACAAGAGAGAGGGAACCCCAGACCCGAAACGCCGAAGCATCACCAACCTCGCCCGTCCACGGCAAAGTGGGGGAGGTCTCCGGGTGGGAGACACGAGGCCAGAGGTTGAGCTGCTCAGCGGCGTATCGGACCGCAAACGGCCACAGAAAATGGGGGGCAGCCGCATGGATCATGGAGGTGCGAGCAACCTCCATGACAAGACCAATGCGGCGCTCGGCAATCCCATTCTGCTGTGGAGAGGCTGGAAGCGTGTACAACTGAACGATGCCCTCAGCACCACAGAAGTCCTCAAGGAGGCGGGAGCAAAACTCACCACCTCGGTCAGAGTGAAGCCGCAGGACAGGGAGTTCCTGCTGGAACCGAGCGCGAAGTTGGAGACGGACAGCGCGGATCCAGCGGATCAAGACACCGCGGACATCCGTCTTGCTCTGCAAGGGGAAGACCGTGGTGTAGCGTGTGTAGTCGTCGACAACCAGCAGAAAGTAGCGCTCGCCACCCTGTCCAGTGACGCGGGCTGGGTCCCACACGTCCATGTGCAGGGTCTGCAGAGGAGCAGTGGTGGGGGCAGGGACCTGGGGAGACCAGACACAAGGAGACGGGAGTGCATGCCACGCAGGCGTGGCAAGGAGGGGTGGCCAAGACGGTGGTGCCAGAGGAGAGTCTGGTGCGTGAGGAGACGACACAAACAAGACGAAGCAACCTCAACCGACGCAGCTACCTGACCTGACTCAGCTACCAGTGGAGACTCAGTGGTCAGTGTGTACAGGCCAGACCCAGGCCTCCGAGTGAACGTGGCGAGGTGCTCACCAGTGCGCGAGTCCGTACAAGTCGCCACTAGCTCGCCTCCAGGTTGGGTGACAGTGACCCACTGGTCCTGGAGGACAGAGGTAGCTACCAAGTTCTTTGCGAACGAGGGGAGGTGGAGACCTGTAAGGAGGCCGGAAGGGGCCGCCGGACAAGGGAGAACATTGGCGCCACGCGCGACTACCGGGCCCCCGGAGGGGTCGGCCAGTGTGACAGGGACAGGGACTGTGAGCGGTGTGACTGTGGTGCTGTCGCGGAAGAAGCAACGAGACGCGCCTGAGTCGAGAGTAAAAGTGTGCAAGGCCTCCTCGAGCTCTGCACCTGTGCTAGCTGAGTCAAAAGCACCAAGGCTAGCAGCCTCTACCCTAGAAACTCTAGGCACACACAAGTAACAGTCCTCCTCAACACTAGCAGAAACAGCATACATCGCATACATGCCAGCATGGATCACAGCCCAGTCACAAGCAAAAACATCTATGTACTGGCTCAGCAAAGTGAGCCAGTCAGGAGTCTTCATGTGCTCACCATGCTCCGCACGATACAGATCGTCGAGGCGAAAGAAGCAACGAGACTAGGTGTGGTCGGTGCGAGTGCAGGTCGCTTCAGGCTGACCTGTGCGACGGACATACCCGCAGCGAGGTGGGCCACCTGGGCTGCCACGGCGGATCGCCCACTCACGAAGTTGTTGCGGCAAGAGCTGCGCCTGGCGGCTCGTCTGCTGCTGCTGGCCACCCCCAGAGCCACCTCCACCCCCCGCTGCACCACCAGACGCAGCTGAACGAGTGGCCGGACCTCCAGCCCCTCCTCCTCCAGCTCCACCCCTAGTGCCACCCCCACCACCTCCACCACCCCCACTACTCCCTCCACCCCCGCCTCCTCCCCTGCCGCCTCCACCTCCTCCTCCCCCACCACCTCCACCGCCACCACCGCTGCCCTCGCCACCCCCACCACCCCCGCCCCCCCCACCCTTGCCACCCTTGCCCTTGCCACTGCGGCGCTTCCCGCTAGGAGCAGAAGCAGCACCGACCTCCTCAGCACCGAAGAGGTCAACAGCAGCAGCAGAGGCAACAGATGACGCGAGCAGGGAGGGGGAGCACCCCTCAAAGACAGAGGGGTGGGGAGTGCCACGAGAGGCAGCAACAACTAGGGCAGCGAACTCTACCTCTAAGAGACGGGACTCGAACGTGTCGAGGGTGATCTTCGTGGGGTCTAGGGCGAGGAAGTGGTCGCGTATGGCACGAAGGGAGTAAGGGAGGCGGGTCGTGAGGAAGTAAAGGGTGAGATAAATAGGTGGCTTGTTCTCAACCCTAAAGGTGGGCTCGAGGGCAGCAGTGTAGCGGGTCTCAAGGGAGCGCAGGTGAGTCATGAGGTCGGCTACAGTGGTGAAGTCCGACAGCTCGGGAAAGAGGAACGGCAGCGCTAGACGGCCTATAGTGGCAGACGACGGGGACGAGTAGCGTGTGACTACGGCGTCGTAAAGCGCCTTGGCCGTCTTAAGCTGGCAAAAGTGGGAGCGCTAGTCTAGCGGAAGGTGGCTACGGACAAAAAGAGTAGCAGTAGCGTCACGAGACGCCCACCTGGACTGGTCTACACGAGTAGCTGTGGCAGCAGGGGCGTCTAGGGTCCCAGAGGTATGCTCAAAATGCGAGACATCCTCCCTAGTCTGGCTCTGCAGGTACCAGTGGAGATCCTCTAACCAGGATTCGAAGTCTACCGGGTGACCCTCTCCGTCAAAGGTGAGAATGGTAGGGGTCGCCATAGCAGCAGAACGGTAGTGGCAGCAGCTGCAGTAGCAGTAGCAGCAGCAGTAGCAGTAGCAGCAGCAACAAAGTAGTGCAGCTCTGTAGGGGCAGGACAGCGCGGCTCGGGCAGGGCGGCGCGGTTCGGGCAGGGCGGCGCGGCGCGGCGCAGTTTGGGCAGGGCGGCGCGGCGCGGTGCGGCTCGGCAGGGCACAGCGCAGCAGCAGCAGCTCATGCGCAGCAGCAGCAGCAGCAGCAGCAGCAGCAGCAGCAGCAGCAGCAGCAGCAGCAGCAGCAGCAGCGCAGTGCGAGCGGTAGCAGCAGCTCAGGCGCAGCAGCGGCAGCGCGACGGGCAGGAGCTGCGCAGCAGCAGCAGCGTATGCAGCAGCAGCAGCAGCAGCAGCAGCAGCGCGCGGCACCGCGGTTGGCAGGGCACAGCGCAGCAGCGCGTGCGGCAGCAGTAGCTCAGGCACAGCAGCACGCAGGCAGTTCGCGGGCAGGGCGAGCAGCGCGCGGGCAGCAAATGCAGCGCGCGAGCAGCAGGGGCAGCTTGCGAGCAGAAGGCGTCGCGGGCAGGCAGGGCGCGCAGCGAGCACGGGCAGCGCGCTTGCAGGCAGCGCGAGCAGGGCAGCGCGACGCGCTAAGGCAAGCAACGCGTGCAGCAGGCAGCGTGCTAGGGCAGGCAGAGCGCGTGACAGCAGGGCAGCGCGACTCTCTTCGGGCAGGGCAGGACAGCGCAAGGGCGCTACGGGCAGGAACAAGCGGAATTAACGGTGGGCCCTAAAAAAAACGGTCCTAACCGGGACCTACTCTGAAACCATGTCAAGAAGTGAAGTCGGTATTGATTAGGGTTGGGAGTACAAGTAGGAAACCCTAAGGGGTTGTACTCACTAGAGTATGCCCCACTACACCCTAGAGTATACAATTACAATTTGACAGTTATGGGCGCACGGACCCGCTACTTAACAAGCCCTTTTATCCCAGTGGTCTAGTGGCTGGGATTATGACAGTTTGTTTGTTGTCAGCAGCTGTGGTGTGATAATGGAGACGGATTCGAACGATGATGTGTAACCCTCACCTTCGTCACAGTATTTCGTTGAAGGCATTGGGAGTCGCGCGGGAAGGGTAATCAGGGTGGTATCACCTTGGGATCAGGAAACACCTGGGGCAAGTCCTGTCAACAAAATGCCTTTCGCAAGTATACCTGCGAGCATGATGCCTGTCGCGATAGTCGCGATAGTCGCTCGCAATTATATTCGTGTCGCAGGGTCACAAGAATGATCAATCTGGAACAGCAGCTTACGTTTCATTGTCATCTTGCCGCTCACTAAATGCGTAAATGGGTATGCCGATCTCAGCCTTGCGGGGACGGCACTGGAGTAGGGGACAGCGGAGGGGACACAACGCGGAGAGGGGAAGGAAGAGGAAAGAGGGGAGATAAGGTGGGCGGATGAAAGTGACAGCAGGGGCAACCATCACCTCCTTCGCGAGAAACCCCTTTCCCCCTTCACCAGTAAAGCCTTCGCTGCATATTGACGCTCGCGTAGGATGAGCAACAAAACTTCCTTCTAATAATTTCGGCGGAAAGAACGTCGTTTCGGCAGCGACTTTGCTTGCCTGATCTAGTCCATTCTAGGAAATTATTGTTAGCCTCCTCGTGCGGCGATGTTTTCAACCGCGGTTCGTTCGATTACGATGTCACAGGAAAAAAAAAGAAGTACAAAAGGCGACGTCAATCACATACCAAGTAATCTCTGCGTATTTACATTTCTTTGCTTCATCCTTTTCCGATCTCAGTCCGTTTCTTGATCCGTAGCTGGTAGTAACCAGAAGCTTTGTCCGCCATGACTCCTGCAACCCTTCTCTTCGTGAATGTTACAATCGTCATCGTCGTCATCTCTTCCCTCATCTGCATGCCGCACGCGCTCGCTGCTGATGACGGCTTGCCTGAGGTGGAAGTTGCATCCAACGGGGCTGAAGTTCAGAACCTGGCGAAGTTTGCTGTGGCTGAGAATAACAAGCAAAAGGATGTTATGTGAATCAAGAAAAACAGGAATGAAAATGACTAAGTGAAAGTTGGGTACAAAAGGCAAACCCTAGGCAACTGTACCCCATATGTGCTACCCCACTATAGCCTACAGTAGCTATGTCATATAACTCTGACACACCCCCATAGGCAAAGTGGGGGAGAACAAGGGGTCACAAGACCAGTCAAGCAAAGCAAAGCAAGCTCAGGGTGGATCACAAAGTCACCACACATTCCGAGCACAAGTTCAAGGCCACAAGGCCAGTTCACATGCAGGATTACATATATATACAAGGCTAGACAAGCAAGAGCAGGAGTATATATATATGCAACAGTACAAACAAGGTCAAGAGGTGAGCAAGTGAGGCAAGGTAGGTACAAGACCCAGCTGAGTACAGAAGCGCTGATGATCACAAGGCGCAAGTGCCTTGGTGAAGATATCAGCAGTGTTGGCCTCAGAGGCCACGTACGCAAGTCGCAGCTGACCACGCTGCTGTAGCTCACGAGCAAGGAAGTAGCGAAGAGCAATGTGCTTCGTTCTGTGCTCCAGTCTCTGCTCTCGACACAAGGCCAGCATGGCCTTGTTGTCTACGTAGAGCACTGGAGGAGAACGAGGCGGCTCTCCGAGGTCAGTCAGCAGGTAGGTGAGCCAGCGAAGCTCCTGTGCAGCCATGGCCCCGGCGTAGATCTCAGCCTCACAACTGGAGCCGAGAACAGAAGACGAGCGAGTAGCCCGCCACGAAACAGAGCCGGAACCAAGGCTGAAGGTGTAACCCTGTGACGACCGCTGCGTAGCCTGGTCGTCAGCCCAAGAAGCGTCTGCGTGTCCAGTGAGGACCACTGGACTCTGCCCTCCAAGCACAAGCCCCATGCCCGACGTACTGCACAAGTAGCGCAACACCCTCTTCGCTGCAGCCATGTGCTCCGGTCTGTGTCTCCCAGGAGCAACATAGCGTGCAAGAATGCTAAGAGAGTATGCAAGGTCAGGTCGTGTGCAGGTCATCAGGTACATGAGGCAGCCAACAAGCTCTGGGTACGGGCCACTCGACTCTACGGACTCATCCGAAGGCAGAGCTGAGAGCGAGTGGCGAGTAGGCAGAGGAGTGGCCTGAGGCGAGGAGTACGTGAAGCCGAAGCGCTGAAGGACCTGCTGCACCATGTGTGACTGAGTCAGGGTAATGGTGCGGCGTGCTCTGTCCCGGGTGATCTGCAAGCCAAGGTAGCTGCGCAGTTCACCCAGGTCTGTGCACGTGTGTCTCTTCTGCAGCTCGGACTTCACGTGGGCGAGTCCAGCAGTGTCAGCTGTGGCAAAGACCAAGTCGTCGACGTACACGAGGATGTAGAACGGCTGCAAAGAAGTGTCGGTGCGCAGAAACAGCGACGGGTCGGCAGTAGAGGGAGCAAACCCAAGAGCCGCAAGTGTAGTCCTCAGTGTGTCGTGCCACTCACGCGGTGCCTGGCGGAGACCGTAGACTGGCCGCCGGAGGCTCCACTGGGTGCCAGGAGGAAAAGACCCAGTGAAGCCAGGTGGGCGACGCAGCCAGATCTCCTCGTGCAGGCTGCCCTGCAAGAAAGCAGTGCTGAAGTCAAGAGAGTGCGGCTCGTAGTCGCGGTGAGCAGCTATGTGCAGCAGTACCCGAAGAGTGGTCATCTTCGGGGTGGGAGAGAAGGTCTGAAAGTAGTCAACTCCCTGCCGCTGACTGAAGCCACGAGCCACGTAACGCGCCTTGAAGACAGGCGGAGAACCCGGCGGCCGCTTCACCCTGAAAATCCACATGCCACTGACGATGTTCGCCCCAGGCGGGGGAACCTCGTCAACGTAGGTGCCTGTGGACTTCCAGGAAGCCATCTCTGCGTCCATAGCTGCCTGCCACTGAGAGGAGTAGGGACCCTCTATCGCCTCCGCTTAAGAGCGCGGAGTCGGGATGTCAAGTGCATCCGGGTCTCCCTCAGGGGTAAGCAGTACGGACACGAGATGAGGTGAAGCAGCAGCCAAACACTGGAACTCCTCCTGCCTGTCCTCAAGGACGTCCGTGCCAAGGGCACACTCACCCCCGACGGACGGAGGACAGACAGACTCAGACTCAGCAACAAGACTAGCAGCGTAGTCTAGACGACAGCGAGCAGCAAAGTCGACGAGCTCAGTAACTAGGGCAGACGCAGCAGTGGACTCAAAGGAAGGGTCAGTGACAACAGTAGCAAGGAGACGAGTGACAGTAGGACTGGCAGCACGAAGAGAGTCCGACTCCGGGTCAGGAAGAGCAGGAAGAGAGGACTCATTAGGAGAAGGCAAAGGGGCACGCAGAGGAGCAGTGGACGGACGCAGAGACATCCGGTGCGTGCCAGGGACAGGAGGAGGACGCTGACGCGAACCACGAGCACTAGTGCGAGCAGCACGGACAGGCGACGCAGGGCGAGACGCAGGCTCACGACGCTCAGCAAGACCTCCAGTAGGACCAGTGTAGGGAGAAGGAGCGGGCAGTGGGGAGGCCGGCTGTAACTGTAACTGTGACGGGACAGGCTGTGGACACGCTAAGGGAGGAGGAGGACCAGTAGAAGGCGGGAGACCAAGAACCTGCTGAAGGAGCGGAACGAAGTACGGCCGAGGCCGCGCGGCGACTCCAGACACAGCAGGGACAGCACCAGTACCCCCAGCGGCAGCACCAGCGCCAGCAGCACCTCCAGCTCCAGTACCTCCAGCAGCACCAGTAGCACCCCCAGCAGGACCGCCTCCAGGACCGACAGCAGTAGCCTCAGCGCCAACACCCTCAGCAGCTCCAGCTCCAGTCGTACCCGCAGGCCCAGCAGCTCCAGTACTCCCAGTACGAGCACCTCCGGGACCCGCGGCACCAGCACCCTCAGCAGCCGAAGAACCTCCAGCTCCAGCAGCACGCCTCCAGCGCCGGGCAAACCACTCGCGCAGCTCCTGTGGAGAGAGTGGCTCCCGCCGAGACGAAGCACCCGGAGAACCTCCAGGCTCAGCACCGCCAGACGCCACACGAGCAGGCCCAGCTCCCTCAGGCTCCGCACCCCCAGGCTCAGCACCTCCAGGCGTAGCACCCCCAGGCGTAGCACTCCCAGGCTCAGCACCCCCAGGCTCAGCACCCCCAGACGTAGCACCCACACGCTCAGCACCCCCAGAGTCAGCACCCCCAGGCTCAGCACCCTCAGCAGCACCAGAGTCACCAGTAACCTCGACAGGCTCGACTGCGTCTACCTGGGACACACCTGAAGGGGCAGGACCCTGAGGGGGGAGGGGGTCTACCGGGGGGGGACCTGGGACAAGGAAGAGCGGTGGCGGGGGGAGGGACGGAGTGCGGTAGGGGAAGAGGCGGTAGTAGGGGACCGACTCGTCAAACGTGACGTCCTGGGAGGACAGGACACGGCGAGAGGTGGGGTGGTAGAACTGCCACCCTGGCGCGTCAGGGGGGAAGCCAAGGAAGACGCAAGGAGCAGCACGAGGGGACAGCTTGTCCGCAGACAAGTCGCGGACAAACGCCCGAGATCCCCAGACACGGAACGCAGACGCATCGCCAACCTTCCCCGTCCACAGCAAAGCTGGGGAGGTCTCCGGCATGGAGACCCTGGGGTGAAGGTTGATCTGATGCGCCGCGTACCGAACCGCAAACGGCCACAGAAAATGGGGGGCAGCCGCATGCATCATGGACGTACGGGCGACGTCCATGACCATGCCAATGCGGCGCTCAGCAATCCCATTTTGCTGTGGAGAGTCCGGAAGCGTGAAGGTCTGGCGGATGCCTCGTGCACGACAGTAGGCTCGCAGAAGGCCAGAGGAGAACTCTCCACCTCTGTCAGAGTGCAGACGCTGAACAGGAAAGTCCGAGCCGAAGCTCTGCCTGAGCTGGAGACGAGCTGCGCGGATCCAGTCGATCAACACCTCAGTGACATCACCCTTGCTGCGCAAGGGGAAGACTGTGGTGTAACGCGAGTAGTCGTCAACCACCCAGCAGGAAGTAGCGCTCGTGACCCTGTCCACGGACGCGGGCCGGGCCCCACACGTCCATGTGAAGCGTCTGCAGCGGGGCCTCTGTCGGAGGAAACTGGGAGGAGTGAGGGGCAGCCCGCTGCCCGCCCCTCGACACAGGGGACGCAGGTAGGGCCAGGCCCCGGAGGAAGGGGAGGGAGGGACCGGGGAAGACCAGAGACAAGGACACGGGAGGCCATGCTTCGGAGACGAAGCAGGGAGGGGTGACCAAGGCGGTGGTGCCAGAGGAGAGTCTCGTGAGGACAGGAGGCGACACGAACAGGGGGCAGACTCAGGACCAGACCTGGACGCTGCAGCAAACACCTGACCCGACGCAGCTACCTGACCAGACGCAGTGACTGGAGGAGACGCAGTGGTCAGGGTGTACAGGCTCGACCCCGGCCGACGGGTAAACGTGGCCAGGTGTCGGCCTGTCCGAGCGTCCGTGCAGTGGGTCACCCGCCGACTCGCAGGAGTGAACTGGTGAACCCCCGCATCCTGGAGGTCAGCACCACTCACCAAGTTCGTAGAGAACGAGGGAAGGTAAAGACCAGACAGGGTGCCAGAGGGGGCCGCCGGACACGGGAGGACAGTGGAGAAGTGAGCAAGGACAGGACCCCCAGAGGGGTCTGCCAGAGAGACTGCAACTGGCCGGCTAAGCGGCGTGAGTGTGGTGCGGTCTCGAAAGAAGGAGCGAGAAGCCCCCGAGCAAGGGTGAAGGTGTGGGAGGCCGAAGCCGACGCAAGAACCTGAGAGAGCAGACTCACCAGCACCTGAGGGAGCAGACGCACCTAGAGCAGCAGCCTCGCTAGCACCTAGAGCAGCAGCCTCACCAGTACCTAGAGCAGCAGTCTCAATGCCCGGGTCGGGCGGAAAACACCGGTAACAGTCACCCTCATCACTAATAGTCACAGTATACATGGCAGCAAGAATAGCATCAAAGTCAAGGTCAAAGACAGCCACACCCGCCCTAGACAGCTCACCCCAGCGGGGGATCTCAGTGGCCTCAGGGAACTGGTGACGCCAAGCGTCCGTCAGGCGGCCAAAGCAGCGCTGGGTGGACGTGCGCACCCCCGCACTGCTCACCCGCCGCGGTCGCCGGTGCGGAGGACGTAGGTGCACGGACCAGTACCCCCACCCCTCTGGCGTGCAGTGTACCACCTCACGGAGCTGCTGAGGGGAGGGGATGTCACGATGTGCGCTGCTGGTGCTGCTGCTGCTGCTGGCGCTGACCACCACCGGAAGCCGACCCTCTGCGCAGCGCCACCACGACCAGCTCCACCTCCTCCGCCGCCTCCTCCTCCACCGCCGCCCACCTCCGCTCCCTCCGCCACTGCCGCTGCCGCCTCCGCCTCCACTGCCGCCACCGACACCTCCACCCCCCGCCACCACCCCCACCGCCCCCCCCACCTCCTCCACCGCCTCCACTGCCGCCTCCACCGCCCCCGCTAGCTCCTCCAGCGCCCCTGCCCCCCTTGCCCTTGCCAGGGCGGCGTCTCCCGCTAGGGGTAGACGCCGCACCGACCGACTCAAGCCCAACGAGGTCGGCCGCAGCAGCAGAGGCAACAGAGGGCAAAAGGGGGGAGGGGGAACACCCCTCAAAGATGGGGGTGCGAGGGTCACCACGAGAGGCTCCTACAGCTACTATGCTCTTCTCTGCTGCTAGGAGGGACTTCTCGAGGAGGTCAACGGTGAGAGTGGTGGGGCAAACTGAGAGGAAGTGGTCCCTGACTACGCGAAGGGAGTCAGGGAGCCGGGTGACTATGTAGTAGAGGGTGATGTACATGGGGGGGGGGTTCTTGGCACAGAACTCAGCAGGAAGCGCAGCGCGGTAGCGAGTGTCACTAGTGCGTAGGTGCGTAATGAGGTCAGCGACTGTGGGAAAGGCAGCAAGGTCAGGGAAGAGGTACGGTAGCATGAGGCGACTCAGTGCAGCAGTGGCAGGGGAGGAGTAGCGTGCAACTACAGCGTCGTACAAGGTCTGAGCACTCTTGTACTGGCTAAAGTGCGCACGCTCAGAGGTAGGCAGGTGGCGACGCACAGCAAGACGTGCAGCAGCATCGCGCGTGGCCCACTGGGAGCGAACAGTTGCGTCAGCATCAGTGGCGGGGGCAGGAGAGGCACCAGAAGTGAGGTCAAAGAGGGAGAGGCCGTCTGCTCTATCGCACTGTAAGAAAAGCTGCAGGTCATCTATCCAGACGTCAAAGTCAATGGCCCGACCCTCAGCGTCAAAAGCGAGAACACTAGGGGTAGCCATGACAGCAGTAGACTAGCAGCGCAAACAGTGGGGTGAGGGCAGTGCTGTGAGAGAGGCGCTGCTCTTACCGGACAGGGCGGCTCGGGCGGCTCGGCTGCAGGGCGGCTCGGCGACTCGGCTGCTGGGCGGCTCGGCTGCTGGGCGGCTCGGCGGCTGGGCGGCTCAGCGGCTCGGCTGCTGGGCGGCTCGGCGGCTCTGCTGCTGGGCGGCTCGGCTGCTGGGCGGCTCGGCGGCTCGGCTGCTGGGCGGCTCGGTGGCTCAGCTGCTGGGCGGCTAGGCTGCTGGGGCGGCTCGGCGGGGCCGCTGAGAGGGCGGCGTCCGGGGCCGCTGGGAGGAGGCGGCGGGCCGCTGAGAGGAGGCGGCGGGCCGGAAAGGTAGGTGGCGGGGCCGCGCGTCAGGGGGCCGCGACAGGGCCGCGTCAGGGGCCGCGTCAGGGGCCGCGGCAGGGCCGCGTCAGGGGCCGCGGCAGGGCCGCGTCAGGGCGCCGCGTCAGGGCGCCGCCAGGGGCCGCGGCAGGGGCCGCGTCAGGGCCGCGTCAGGGCCGCGGCAGAGCCGCGTCAGGGCCGCGTCAGGGGCCGCTTCAGGGCCGCGGCAGGGGCCGCAGCAGGCCGCGTCAGGGCCGCGTCAGGGGCCGCGGCAGGGCCGCGTCAGGGCCGCGGCAGGGGCCGCGTCAGGGCGCCGCGTCAGGGGCCGCGTCAGGGCGCCGCCAGGGGCCGCGGCAGGGCCGCGTCAGGGCCGCGTCAAGGGCCGCGGCAGAGCCGTGTCAGGGCCGCGTCAGGGGCCGCTTCAGGGCCGCGGCAGGGGCCGCGGCAGGCCGCGTCAGGGCCGCGTCAGGGGCCACGGCAGGGCCGCGTCAGGGCGCCGCCAGGGGCCGCGTCAGGCCGCGTCAGGGCCGCGTCAGGGCGCCACCAGGGGGCGCGTCAGGGGCCGCGATAGGGCGCCGGCAGGGGCCTCGTCAGGGCGCCGCCAGGGGCCGCATAGGGGGCGCGTGGGAGGCGGCGTAGGGGCCGCGTAGGGGCCGCGTAGGGGCCGCTAAAAAAAAAAAAATTAGGGCAGGGCGCAATGTGCGCGGGCAGCTAAAAAAAAATTCTTATGGTGGGCCCTTAGGAAGGAACGGTCCGTAGGAACCCGCTCTATACCATGTGAATCAAGAAAAAACAGGAATGAAAATGACTAAGTGAAAGTTGGGTACAAAAGGCAAACCCTAGGCAACTGTACCCATATGTGCTACCCCACTATAGCCTACAGTAGCTATGTCATATAACTCTGACATGTTACACCTGACTTTGTTTATCTGTTGAAACTTCGATGGTGCTTCTGAATTCTGTATATATATGTATATTATATATATATAATTACAGAATCAACGGCACAAAAGATTGCAGTACCATTATGTCCTTATCTTGCGCGTCAAAATTGATGACACATGGACCTGACGCATCTTCCCACACACCCATGACGTTCTGACGCAGGTGGAGCATCACACTCAAACAGTCACATCGTTCCTCACTCCTCTCCCTCTCTCCCTCTCTCCATCTCGCCCTCCCTCTCCCTCTCTCCCCCTATCCCCTCTACCTTTTCTCCCTCTGTCCCTCTCCCTA